CCCATTCATATAGGTAAATTTAACAAAATTGAATGAATCTAGATGGCCATTTACATTTTTGCCAAAAAGTGGGCGTGGCTCGAAAGTAGGTCGACTGTCGTACTCCAAAATAGGACGTTCAAATCTCTCCCATAGGAGTAACACCTGTATGCAATTTGAAACATGTGGGTCAAACGGTTCTTGAGTTATCGTTGACCGTAGACAGACACTGAAATGCATAGTGAAATTGCCAAAATCTACATAATTTGCATAATTTAAAAAAAATATCAAAACCCGTGTGATATGTTTTTGGGGCCGGTCCTTATTCATTCACATACCTAAAATGAGCAAAATCTGTTGAACCTGAACTGACTAATTATGGCCATTACCATGTTTGCCAAAAAGTGGGCGTGGCTCGAAAGTAGGTCGACTGTCGTACTCCAAAATAGGACGTTCAAATCTCTCCCATAGGAGTAACAACTGTATGCAATTTGAAACATGTGGGTCAAATGGTTCTTGAGTTATCGATAACCGTAGGCAGACACTGAAATGCATAGTGAAATTGCCAATATCTACCTAATTTGCATAATTTAAAAAATATATCAAAACCTCTGTGATATGTTTTGGGGCCAGTCCTTATTCATCCTCATACCAAAAATGAGCAAAATCCGTTGAACCTGAACTGACTTATGGCCATTTCAATTTTTGCCAAAAAGTGGGCGTGGCTCGAAAGTAGGTCAACTGGCGTGCTCCAAAATAGGACGTTCACATCTCTCCCATAAGAGTAACAACTGTATGCAATTTGAAACATGTGGGTCAAACGGTTCTCAAGTTATCGTTGACCGTAGCCAAATGTTGACGGACGGACGGACGTACGACGGACGATATCCCATGGCAATAGCTCATCTTGACGATGTCAAGGTGAGCTAATAATGCTATTTTGGCATAACAATAATAATGTGCACCATCCAGAATTCTAAGATAAAATTGACACAACTGAAGGGGACATCCGGAAATGCAATGTTGCACGTATTTCACATTTCACAGAATTTATCCAGTTTTAGAAGTAATACATACGGCTTCAAAATCCTTGAGTGCGAGCTTGTATTTCCCTAAGGCAAAATTTGCCATTGCTCTTCGGTAGTATCCCTGTATTAGCAAATAATTAGTATTAGGCAATCTTCACAGAACAGTTTTATTCAATTATATAACCACCAATCTTAACAAATGTTTTACTTGCTCATTATAGGTTGTTCTTAAAATGACCAGGGAGGCATATACTATCAAGAGCGTATAAAGAAGGAGAGTGTACAACGGTGAAATGCTGAAACCATGTTGCAGTATTAGTCGAATTAATAAACTTTCCCCAGTTAAAGTTAATCCACGACTGTGGAACCGGGTCCTGTAGTACAAGTCTGGTACACTTTGTGTATACATATATGTACCTCGGGTACATATCTGTAGTACCTGATACGACAACGACCCCTTCAGCCATACTGCACTCTTCAGGTATACAACTGCAGTGCCTTACACAGACCGTTACTCACCTCTAGCCATGAAGAAGTGGTCTGGATAAAGTAATTTGAAACTAAACAGTGCAAGTATCACTTCTACTGAGAATGAGCCTCGGTCAACAAAATCTCCATTGAACAGCTGAAACCTCTATTGAGGAAGTATATCTTGTAACAATAAACCTATGTCTATTAAATGTATAGCTTCATGGTAGTACCACAGTAATACCTGCTGATCAAGTGGTCGATTGCAGCATTTGAGTAAAAAATCATCAATAATCAACATTTTGATATATAGCACCGCTCCAACATGTAGATTAAATGGCATTCAATATTTCTAGCATTACCCCAATATTACTTCTTTATTATTAGTGGGTACAACTAGCTAGAACGTGTCCAAAGCTTTAACACGCTGAATATACAGTCATCAGATGTCATGTGCACGTAAATGTACAAAGAGTACAACTGTACAAGGTACGAAGACATAGATAGACCTGTGGCTGTTTGGGAAACTTAGAAGTTCAAACAAGGATACATATGGGTTGTCAATCGATGGCAGTCCATTTAACTTGAATATGTTCAAGAGGTCATAGTACTGACCATGGATGTCACCACAAACTGTAAATGACTTTCCCTAATTACAATAGAAAAAAATTATTACAGTGACATACTGAATGATATTATTATGTTAAGTCAATGCAATGTGATATATGTTACGATATACAGTATATGTTATGATCAAAATTTAATCCAAATTATACAAGCAAATATTAACATTATGCCCATACTAGTCTAGTATTCATCTAGTGTTCCTATAAATGAAGGATGGCAACACGAAATATATACAGCTTACTATCTTAATTTATGTAGATATACATTTAGTCACTTTCTTAGTTTATATGCTTATGTATGTATAGTTGTACTTACTTCAGGAATAGTTATATCGACTAGAGTGGGCTGCTCTGAGAACATTCTTTTAATTTCTACTAAAATCTAGAAAGAGAATACATTTTAACTTGATAAATATATAATTCCCTATATAATAATAACTCGTATAAAATGCGTTGTAATTGAGGTCATGATTACAGATCTAAGAGGAGTTGAGCAAAATACATCTCATAAAATCCACTACTTTTATGGTTGTAAAAACAACAAGCGACAACACATCATTACATCTTACTACATAAAGCAATTGTAAACACATAAATTTATAAGATATGTTAAATATCATCGAAAAACTGGAAGTACGTTAATTGATTATGACCGTAGCTGCAATCCATACATGCTGACAATGATGCAAAGGATTATGGGAGTGTTATTGTCAGATTAGACAGCAAAGAAAGGAATTCACAACCATACAATTAAATCACAATAGGGGATGTGACTATAAATGGTGCATGTGTGTGCTTGCCGTGCTTGCCACTGGGTGCTAGATTATAGGTTATATGTGTGTATCCAGCAATCAAGCGTGTGTATAAGCCACTTGTGGGACCTGATTACTTTCTAACTGTGTTGAGTTTCGTTTGTCTTGCATTGCTGTCACATCGGGCCTCGGATATCTTTAACATTACCATGCACCATTCTCGTGTCAATAACTAGGAGTGAATCACAGACGTATTGATAGAAGCAGCAGATGATGCCATGCAGGACTTCTAGGTAGACAGCCATTGGCTTGGCTACATACATGCCAGGAGCAGAGCTATAAGTTGTTGCTTAATTAAGTCACAATCCTAGCGAGTGTGCATGGCTGAGCACAAAAATCAACAGTATTAAAATATTACATGTATTCTATACCAGTCACAACACTTCCTTGTTTATATTACACTGGCATTAGCATCAGTAAGTAGAAAGCTTTGGAATACCTTATACGCATATTTTCTATGCAACCTTTTTTCTTGTTTTTGATGTTCCAGTAGCTGCTCAACAAAAGGAAGTGTAACTGTTTCTTGACCATTGACCACCTCCAATTTTGGCCCAATGTAATCACCTTCAATACCTATAGATAGAAAAAAGGTTTTCCAGGTAATCTTTGATATTGCAGTACCAGATAAATATTTCATGTGTGCTTTATTGTAATTTTAATCTTAACTCATTATATAATCTGGTTTATATCATTTAAAAAAGGTTATACATTCACTTACAGAATCTTTTTGTATATCATTATTACTATTACAATTTCATGTGCAACAGTTATTCAAATGAAACAAAAATTACATACACATGCTGTCTAGATCAAGTGAGTCTGCAACAGAGGATTTCTGGTGATCAACGGCTATTGCCTTTAGGAAGGCTTTTTCCTGAACTATCTTTTTACATTCTTTGCAGTTATTCTTTGCATCAACATCATTAGGATGAGCCTGGACAACCTAGAAATAACAATAGTATGCGTATTATTAGTATTAGACTTTGCACGATTTATCAGTTAAAAAAATGAAAAACAAACAGTTACAAACTTGAAAAGTGAAATATGAAAACATGAAAAGATTGCACGTTATCTATTAGCTTAATTCGAATTATCATGTACTTCAGTATTCATTTATGTGCAATTACTTTCATGCAACGTCCATCCACACAGTGTTGAATGAAACGGTTACCTAATTGCAGTCAATGTTTTGCCAATTTCAGCCTAGCAAACTCTTTATTTTGAACATTTGCATGAGAGCGACTTTAGAAATCGCACCAAAATTTAGTGGTCATATTACAAATTCCGTTAAAAATTCATACTTCCGTAACTCGTGTGAGGACTGTAATACTGTATTATGTTATTATCATTGATGACTATGCATCAGGCAATATATTTATCATGCTATTTTGTAAAATCACATGATATTGTAATCTGGGAGCCTGATTATTTGACAATAAATGTAACACTGGTATACATGTGTGTGTGTGTGTGTGTGTGTGTGTGTGTGTGTGTGTGTGTGTGTGTGTGTGTGTGTGTGTGTGTGTGTTGTGTGTGGGTGTTGGTGTGTGGTGAGAGAGAGAGAGAGAGAGAGAGAAAGAGAGAGAGAGAGAGAGAGAGAGAGAGAGCAGCACTGAGTGTGGCGGCGCGCGCGTGTGTGTTGTGTGTGAAGACGACGAGAGAGAGAGATGTGCGTTGGCTGTATGTGGTGTTGGTGAGATGAGAGAGGTGTGCTTTGTGCTGGTGGTGTGTGTGGCCGCGCGGTGTCGCAGCCGCGCGTGTGTGTGCTCGTGTGTTTTGTGTGGTCGTGTGCTGTTGTGTGTGTGCGAGTGTGTGGAGAGAAGAGAGGGCAGAAGAGAGTGTTGCGTTCTGTGTTGCGTGTGTGCAACTAATCAGGAGAGAGAGAGAGAGAGAGACGAAAAGGAGAGAGAGAAAGAGAGAGAGAGAGCGAGAGAGAGAGGAGAGAGAAGAGGTGTTGGTGTGTGTGGTGTGTGAGTGTGTTCTGCTGTGGTGGTGTGCGGCGCGTGTGTGTGTGTGTGGTGTGGTGTGGGTGTGTGGTGTGAGAGATAGAGATAGAGGGTGTGCGTGTTTGTGATGTGTGTGTGACGAGCGAGAGGCGAGAGAGAGAGCGCAGAGAGAGAGAGAAGAGAGAGAGAGAGAGAGAGAGAGTGTGTTCGCGCGCTTGTGTGCGTGAGTGAACAAAGAGAGAGAGAGAGAGAGAGAGTCAAACGCATGCAGCATGCCCCTTCCCACACTCCAGGATACTACGTCCCTACCCAACTTAGAATGGCACATGAGCGAACGCCATCTGTCGGGAATTGAGAGAGGTGTGGCGCGCAGAGCGCCGTTGGTGTGCGTGCGTGTGTAGTGTGTGTGTGTGTGCGCCGCGCACGCGCTGGTGTGCGTGCGTGCGGTGTGTGTGTTGTGTTGTGTGTGTGTGGTGTGTGTCGTTTGTGTGTGTGGTGTGTGTGTGTTTGGTTGTGTTGTGAGGAGGGAGAAAAGCAAGAAGAGAGAAGAGAGAGAGGTGTGCGTGTTTGGTTTGTGTGTAAACAGAGCGAGATGAGAGAGAGAGAGGTGTGCGTGTGTGTCGGTTGTGTGTGTGTTGTGTGTTGTGTGGTGTGGAAAGAGAGAAGAGAGAGAGAAGAGAGAGAGAGCGGAGAGAGAGAGAGAGAGAGAGAGAAAACCGAAAGGGAGTGTTTGAAGGAAATCAACCGTTGGCACCTGAAAAAAGCGTGGTTCACACGTGGCGCCTGACCGTGGCCAACGTTGGCAATAGCCGTTGGTCCAATGTTGGCCCACCGAGCACAATCCGTTGGGCCAACGTTGCCAGCCGAGCAAAAAATCCTTGGCCAACGTGGCAAAAACGTGGGCCAACGTGGCAAAATGACGTTGGCCAAACGTTGGCTGGCCGACGTTGCCCACCGTTGGCCAACGTCAGGCCCGCCAAGCAAAATAACTCATTGGGCCAACATTGGCAATCCACCGTTGTACAACGGTCTGGCATGGCGAAGCCAGCTGTTGGCCAACTCAGCCATGTTACATCTGGGGGTAGCAAATGACTCTCATATGTACGACCTTAAGCGGATTTGGTTCACAGATATCATGGCTAGATTTGGCAATCCCTTGCGGACTTTGCTTAGCCACACAATTTGATAATGTACCTAGGCAGTTGCATTAAAGGATAGAACCTAGATTTTACTGCATACAACTGTACCTTACTGTATAACAAATCGCTAATACCCAACGACTATTGTTACCAATCCCCTAACATTTCAATGTTATAAGAATTACACATCAACGCTACGAAATTTGAACGGCGCATTACACCCGCGACCGTCCTTGCCACGCTGAAAAAGTGCGTATCTCGACAATATATTGCACGGTTACAGACTCGAGGGCTAATCACAAAGTGCAATTAATTTATATCCCTAAATGCCTATTTAAACACGAACGAGTATTTAATTTTTACGGGCAAATTTATCCCATATTATAACTGAAACTATAATTCGTTTCATAAATCATAACAATCCTCTTTGCTGTTAAATAATAAATAAGGAAACACCGCCGGTCTGTCTGTAGCCCCTAGCTGGAAAAGCTGGCAGTTTGACCGCACCTCTCTACTCGATCGAGTCATTCCTGGTTCCCTCTTGCGAGCACACTCGTCCTTAGCAATCTATTACAAATGTTTGCGCCTTATAGAGCGAAGATCGCGCCTAGATAGACGACAGTGTAGATTACACCGCCGCGTCGTGCTCAGTCAAACTGAGCGCTAGCATTAGTATAAACGAGTTTATACCTACTGACTCAAATGAGATTGAATCTCATGCAACACAACCCTTAATCTTAGCGTAATACACACTGAACCACTATACGATAGTACACGCCCTACGAACCTAGAGGAGGAGCGATTTCTTAATGATTTCATTGTCTATAAATAATCTATTTGATGGCAAACAGCCTTAAGCATACAAACACTGTCATAAATCTAACCAGTGTCAATGCACACCGTAGCTCAGCCTTGGTGGATAAACGGAGGGGGATAAAAAAATGCACGATAATACTATGAAACTCCATAATAGCAAATATATTCCCATATATCCTTCTATCTCTGATACTGCAATATTGCCTAATTTGAAGTGCGTACAAATAATGTTTCAGAATCTGAAGTCTGAAATCCTGGGCGAGAGATGGCATCATACGCCTAAATAATCGCCCCATTTTGGTTCGAACCTATCGCGCAAAACAGAAAACAATAAAAATATATCAGTCCACACTACTTTAACGAAGAATCTAAACACCATACACGTATGATATTGTAGTTAATTTAACCAGTCCTAGACGATAAATACACTAAAGGACGTTTTCCACCTCTTCTCGAACATAGGACTAACAACTGTTTTGGGCCAGCCTACACATTCACATCACCACACTTGTAACAACACGAACATCAACTCTACGATGACCATTCCTCATTTGCCAAAAGTGGGCATGGTCTGAAAGGAGTCGACCCCTGACGTGTCTCCACAAATCTAGGACGTCAACATCTCTCCCAATAGAGTACGCCCCTGTCGCAAATTGAAAAACATAGTGGTCAAACGGTCTGAGTTTCGTCGACTCGCAGACAGACACTGAAATGCCATATGAACTGCCAAATCTACACTAATTTGCGAGTAATTTTAAAAAAAAAATATCAAATACCCGTTATATGTTCTTTTTGGGCCGTCCTTAATTCATTCACGATACCTACAAAAAGCAACCAATCTGTGACCTGAACGACCTAATTATGCCCATTACCTATTGCCAACAACGTGGCGTGCTCGATACGTAGTTCGACTGTCGCTACTCCCCAAATAGACTGCAATATCTCTCCCATAGATAACAACTGGTATGCCAATCTTGCAACATCGTGGGTCAATGACGCTCCTGATTTAGTCGCAACCCGAGCCTGACACCGCAACATATGTAAATCGTCATGACCTCACCTAACTCCTGTGCATAATTATATATGTAAATATATCAAAAACCCTCGTGCTATTTGCCTGTCCGCCACCGCTTAGTTCGCATCCGTCCAATACCAAAACAGAGCAATAATCCGTGTGATGGACCTGCCAACCTACTTATTGCCAACTTTCAATTTTGCCAAAACAGGGGCGCCCGCCCGAAAATGTAGTCAAACTGGCGTGCTCCATAACTAGCACCTCTACCTCTCCTCCCAGCTATAGATAACCAACTGTAGCAACTTTGCCACACACCCTGGTGCAAACGTTCTAAAGTTACGTTTACCGTAGCCCACATGCAGACGGAAAACGCACGGACCCTACGACGGACGCGCTACTCGTTGGCCGCCTCGCAATTCCAAGCGTCATCTGACTGATTCAAGAGGTGACATAGCATTGGCCCATAAATCTTGTGTGCGGCAATACACAACTAACCCCCACATGCTGCCCACCAATCCCCCACTAATTCCTACGATCCAATTGACACAACTGAAGTGACAATCGCGAAACTGCCAATGTGGCATCGTATTCGACAATTCAACAAATATCCAGTTTAGAATATACATTACTCTTCAAACGTCGCCTTGAGTGCGGCAGCTGTTATTCCCCTACAGACGAACACTCTGTATGCCATGCGTCTCGTAGTAAGTCCTGTATTAGCAAATCTCTCTAATAGCATTAGGCATCTTCACAGAACAAGTTTATTCAATATAGTAGACCACACCAAGTCCTATGAACATCCGCTCTCGGTTCGTCTCTTTTCCTTCCTCTCCCATTCATCTCATCTCCTGTCTTTCTCAATACATCCATCATCCCTCCCCCGGATCTGCGCTCATATACCCCCACCCAACGCCCACCCGCCCCTATTCCACCACCACCCACACCAACCGACAGTGCAACACACCCGGTCACAAGCTGCCTGCACACCCAGTTGCACGTATCCCTCAAGCTCGAATTATACACCTCC